CAGCGTTCGGACGTGGAGTCTGCATCCCGTTAAAGTGCTGCCTGGTTCCAGGCGCCTGCCCCAGTGACACTCTGACCCCCACAGTCTTTATGGCGGCGGAAGGGGCTAACCCCACCCCGAGGGAAGCAGAGGCAGCAGCCATGGCGCACTCGGCCCAATTTCCCTCGCCGCTGGGCCACACACAGCCTGCAGCCCAGGCCCGGACTCTCTCCCCGGCTCAGCTGGCCCGATTCTGCCCCGGTTTCTCCTGCAACAGCAGCCCTTCCTGGTGGCTCCTGCGCAGGGAAGCCCAGCTCTGGCTGTGTGGCCTTTGGGAGCGTTTAATGCTGCTCTTGGCTTTGGTTTTCCTCGGTCAGTGAAATAGAAACGTTTGCCGGCCCGTGGACACCTCTGAGCGCTGTCCCTGACGCCCACAGCACCTAGTAGAGAACGTGGCTGGGACAGCTCCACATCTTCAAGGACATTCTCTCTCACTCCTGCCTCGGCCCAGGCCGGGGCGTTTCCCTGAGACCCTCAGTCGGGCCCTACCTGCTTAGACTAAAACGTGAGCCACGAGGCCAGGCACACTTCCTCGTGGCCACTCTTTCAAGAAGGAAAAACAAAAAGATCTTATTGCTAATCATATTCTATGTAACTGAAAATATTTAAAGTATGACTTCACATTCTGCATTGGGGGTAAACAATCACTGAGTTTTTTGTTCTTTGCTTCGTACTCCGTCTTCTAACTTCTGTGTGTGCCGGCCCCGGCTGGGCGTCTCAACAGGGGTGAGCCACGTGTCACGGTCAGGAGCCGCCGGCGACAGGTGGCAGCTGCCAGGACAGCATGACACGAGACCCTGTGGCCACAGCAACACCAAGATCACCATTGACAGCAACACCTGGAAGCCTGTGCCAAACGCAGGTCTCGGGCCCGCGGTGCACTGTGACAACATCCCAGGCGAGTCTGACATGCATGGAGAGTGAGAAGCGCTGCTGTAGACCAAGGCCCTGCATCTAGCCTGCTCTCCACCTGCAAAATCACCGGCCCTCTGACCCCCGCAACCCACTCCTGTCATTTGAACCCCTTTATGGACCTTCTCCACACCCGGCACACCCCTGTTAACGTAGCAGCTGACCCGGAGATAGAACCTGATGCTTCCAAAGCGTTTTACTGCATTTTCTATCTTGATCTGGCTCTCACTCTACAGCAGCTGACATTATTACAGGTAGGACAGCCGAAGCTCAGTGAGGCCAAGAAAGCCACCCAGGGTCACAGAGACAATAGAGAGAGAGCTGGGACTCCAGCCCATGTCCATCCAGGCACCCTTGCCTTCACGGCCCGCACCGATTTCCAGTCAGAACTAACCGGGTCTCTGTGAGCGTCAGGCGCTGGGTCCTGCCTGCACGCGGCCCGTCACCTGCACTGTGGGCTAGGCACCCCTCCCTGCCCTGTGAGGACAGCGGCTGATAAGAACATGGACCACCAAAGGCCTTGCATCCTCAGTGTGCATTCACCTTCCCCCTTCGACGCCCCTGTGTCCATCGCCTACCTGCAACCACCACAGTTCAGTGCGTCTCCCTGGTGGGAGACACATGACCCGGCCATGAAATCTTTAACCTTAAAAAAAACACTGAGCAGTGCTTTCCCACCAGTTTCCTGTGGAAGTGAAAGGTCCGCCTGTTACTGACCCTCGCTGCCCCGTGGCTGAGAAGTTGGGAATGGCTTAGACCAGGCCCCTCGGGAGAGAAGGCACTGGGGTCCTCGTGATGACGCTCGCCTCCCAGTCAGGGAGCAGCTGCCGGCGTTGTCTTACCTGGGCCCAGGGTTGATGGGGCCGCTGGTGTGCGGGACGGACAGGATGCTGGCGTGGGGCGTGGAGGAGATGGAAGTCCAGCTGTCAGCTCCGGAGAACACTTGCAGGTTGTTGCCGGAGCTTTCTAGCAAGTTCACTTTGGAGAAATAACAACAGTTGAGGGAGCATGCAGACCTACGAAGTGGTGACCAGTGACCCTATCCCGGGGCCATCAGGTGCCAGTAGCTGTTAGCATTTCTGAGGGCAACAGAAAGGAGGGGAGGCTTGGATTTTTCACGTCAGCCGTACGCCACATGCTCATCTCCGCCATACGGGCGAGGCTGAGGGCTGAGTGCTCACTGAGGAGCAGCTCGGCTAACTCAGTCACACTTACGGTGTCACCCCCTCAGGCCACGCTCAGGGCCCCCAGGGCCTCAGCTGAGCTGTCTGAGGTCCAGGACCTACTCCGCTCAGCAGCCCCAGGTGGACTTAACCTCTCAGAAACAGTGTCGTCTGTGTCTGAATCTCCACCTGCGTACGTACTGTCGGTACAAGAGAGAGGAAGGAGGGAGAAGAGGAAAGGAGGAAGGAGGGCGAAAGAGGAGAGAGAAGTTTCCGACGTATCCACCTGGCCAAGTCACTCCTCACCTGATTGGCACGTACAACTTCTTCATCCTCCGCTCTGCGTCTTCCACCTCCCCTCCCTCTACCCTGTTCCTCATCCGTTCCCCGGACACCCGGCCCTCGCCCTCCTGGGTCTTCGCTCACACCGCTCTGTCATCCGGGATGCCCGTCACCTCTGCGTGTGTCCCATGTCACCCATCCTTCT